TTCGTCTCCTATCTTTATATTCGCTCTTTCCCTACTTTTTCTTCCCTTGCATACCAGTATTTCAGTTTTACTTTTATTTATTTTCATACAGTACTGATCTGTCAGTACCGCTTCCATTTTATTTAAAGCTATCTCTAGGTCCTCCTTGCTAGATGCTAATACTGCTATATTTCATTCGTTTAGAGAGTAATAAATATTGCTAAAGGTTTTTATACAGTTTTTATTTATATTCTTGTTAAACCGTAACAGAAATCTGTGGTTCAAATATATCTCATATTTAAATTTAAGTCTTCCTTTCAATTTGTGGGAGTAAAACCTACAAGAATATATTTTTCTCAGCAAATTCAAATGTGTTACATGTAAATGTATGTATATTTACCACCTCGTACGGTGACTCAATAAATTCAATTGGATTCTCTTTCAATTTTTGCAATGATAATTTTCGAGGATATACCTAACGTAACTTTGGCTTTCCTCATCACTTTATATAAGGCCGGGAAAATTTAATTTCGTGCGGCAATATAAATACAATGAATGGGAAAAAGAGAATATTACAATTCATTCTTTATAATGCTTGTTGTTTGGTTCCGCTGATACCAATAAATGAAATTTTAATGAAATGTCTCTAATACTTTTTGAATAATTCAATGTGAATATGATTAATAAAAGACGCTTTAATGTAGAAGGGTTTTCCGTTTGTTTCGATGACAACATCCTTGGGGAAACAGATATCATAAAGAAATATAGAATTAGAGTTATTGTGTTTCGGATACATCGGTATGAAATTCTTTTCTGCTTGTGCCATAACGAACGAATAAAAAAGATACAAATAATGTTTATAATTGTTACATGATTTCTCAATAAACATATTCAGAACAAACCAATTTGGTCTAGCCACTAGACTAGTGAATGTTCTGAGAAGAAAAGTTTTCAAAAACCGTATTACCTTGTTAAGCGATTTTCCGTGAGAGTTTCATTTAATCCGTTTATTAAAATTTAATGATTTTGGGTGCCCCAAACAAAAAAAAAGCCAAGACATCGTACGCTCATGTTTAATAATTTGTTGATGTTCTCATTAAAAAGTTTTTCGTTCAACTTTGTTGTCAAAATGCCCCAGTAAAAAACAGCCGCCACTGCTTTCGTTATGGGATGATTACTTCAATAAAAAAAGGAGGGCAACTGAAAATTATGATAATAATTAAGCAGCCTTTAGCTTACCTACTTCTTAATTAAAAAGTATCGTTTGTTATCCAAGAAAATTTATTAATACAGCAAGGGTATTTTGCTGCTGAGATGATTAACTAAATTATTGTTTGATCGTTAATTACTTGATAATTATCTGAAAATTACTTTACTAGGAATTGAACAGATACTTAGTATTATTATGGAATAAACTTCTGTAACAATAAACTTTCGTTATAAAATAGCTATAGTTTAATGTCATTTTTTGTATAAATTCATTAATGTTAGAGGTAATGCGCCTAAGTACCTAAAAGTAAGTTGAAATTTAGTCCTTCTACAATAATTTTTATTGTAACTTTAAAGTCTTGTTAGATTAATATTAATTTCAAAAAGTTTTTAACAGAAAGTTAAATATAACCACTGATTAAAATCACTGTTAATCCTTTACAATCCAAGTTTGGTTTTCTACTACATCCCATGAGTATTATTCATAAATATTCATTAAGGATTTCAATTTGGAGCTTAAACAGATATCTTGTCTGTCTAACGGTATTTCTAAGTACGTATATATCGTAGGTACCTATTCTACAATTGAGACAAATTGTAATTTGTCTTCTATAGAAGGATACTATTCCTGCGATGTTAAACCCGAACCGGAACGCCCCTGTAAGAATTGATTTATTTGTTAAAGCTGATCCCAAACCTTGTTATCAGGATCTCAACGTTTCTCTTAAAAAAATCCAATGTGACGTGCCAATTGTCCCAAAATATTCAGGGTAGACCAATTTAAAGGAACAAAAGGTCCTTGATAAATAGCATTCGTAGTGTAAACTCTTTTGAAATATAAACAGAAGAAAAATATATATTTAAATTGGGTAATTGATTGAAGATTTCTTTTGCTTTTCCGTCTATGTCTCCTTTGATGTGGTAGTAAATTACTTAGTATTCAATTTCATTTTAATATTCAATACCTATCTCATTATATGTGATTCTGGATCTGGAAAGATTGCCATTTTATTTTTATTGACAAAACCCAGTGGCCAATGTTAATCTCTTAAGCTAATACCGTCGCTTTTATTCGATTTGTTATTGGGCTCTGAAGCGATTTTTCGCTCGCTCTGGTACTCTTCAGATAAAGCTTTATTGCAAGCAACTTTTATATCTCTGCAAAATTCTTTTAAAGGAACGACTTTACGAGAAATTGTACATTAATGCATTACGGTAGATATTAGTTCTGTAACTTTCTTTGGCTTGTCTTCGATCCTGAATATTAAGATTTTTGGTACATTATTGTAATTTAAATTTGCGGAAAATTGGCGTAGTTAAATAAATTGCAGACTGGCTTTCTATCTTCGGTTACACTTACCTCAGTTCGAACCCACCCGTACTTTCATGATGGAGTCATTATGGAGCCATTATGGATCCATCTTAAAGTCACTATGAATTCACCATGGAGCTATCGCGGATCCATTATGGATATAAAATAAGTAGTCATAGCAATTTATTATGAATTCATGAACCTCCATAGATTCTTCGAGCCATCATGAATCCATAAGGATCCAATCATGGAACCATTGTGCTTTTATTATGGAACCATTATGTTTCCGTCTTGGGGTCATTATGGATTCGTCCTAGAGACATTTGTTGATTATCATGAAGCCATTATGGGTCCATTATGAATCCACCTTCAAGCCACTATGGATTTCTAATGGAGTCATTACGGATCCATTATGAACCCATCATGGATATCTTGGAGCTATCCTCAATCCATGCTCCAGGAACAATTATGAAGTTATTATGAAACCATAATGGAGCCATCATGGATCCTTTATGGAACCATTGTGGATCCACTAAGGAAATCTTTGACGATCCATAATAATCTTATTTGATAATGTTTAAAAGATTAACGAAGTATCACATTTAGTACTGCGATGTTAGCTCCTTATAAACAAACAAATTCCTACTTTCTAATTTGGATAGATTATGTTTGGTGCTGCGATTAGAGATCTTAATTGCCTTATGTAAAATAGAAGACGAGATCTCTTGTAAGTGGTCATTTAGATATATCTAATGGATGGGGTTTGTTAAAATTAGTTGCAATTTAACACTGATATTTGGTTCATAAATATGGTTTGTAAATCTAAATTTGGGTAAATTTAAAGATATTGACCAAATATAATGCAAATATGCAGTAATTTTAAAATCATTTTTTTACTTTTCTAACGGTGTTCTTTATTTTTTTGTAACTTTCTCCAACTACGTGTAAGATTTGGTAGGTTGGGAATATATCAAAAATCACGTAACAATTTTTATGAAAAACATATTTATTACATCGAAGCAATTTAATTAGTTATAAAGTATTGTATAAATCTGTAAATATATAATCAAATATTCAATAACAATTAAAACTCATTACATTACTTTAATCGAACAGCTTAATTGCTAGATAATACTGTTGGTATTTTTTGGTAACATCAATTCCATGCTTCATCGTCTAATGGTAGTACGAACTTCTTTTTGTAGTGGATCTAGGAAAACACAACAAAAGTCTTAATTTTTATATTTCTTCTTGTGGCAAACAAAATCAATAAAATGAGTTTGTATTGTCTTACTGAAATAATGTATAAGACATCTGTTAAATTTGAAAAAGTTAAAATTACCGTAACAATTGCTATTAGTTTCAAATAGATATATTTTTTGTAATTAATTATATAAAATTAAAGTCACTCACTGTTGTTTGAACTAGTAGAACTTTTTCTTCCATATCTCAAGTTAATTCCTGAATACTGCTGGTGTTACTGTTGCTATCTTGATCGTGATCTTGCCTTCTTGGATCGAGATATGAGCTATGACGGGCTGGCATCGAACGTCTATTTGAAGCACCATCATTCGTGCTAGTTACCACAGCTTCACATGACTGCCTTAGTTTCCGATTGCTGAACCGGAAGTAACCCCGGAGGCGTTCTTTAGTTGGCCTGTCAGAAAAAAATAAGATAGCAAAAAACAGAATGCCGACGTTTGTCGATTATTTATTTATGGAATCCAATAAATTGTTCTGGAAAATGGAGAAAGAAAATCAATATTCAGGCGTTTACGTCTAATGAAAAATTAACCTGCTTGGAACGTTGCGATACAGCGAGAAAAAACCAGTGAAGATGTTTTTCTTTCAAACTGCTGAATGTGGTAATGAGACGACAATATAAAAAAGAATCAAGAAGCGAAAAAAGAAAATGTGAAGTCACTTAGCAACAGTTCATATTGCCTTCATCCATTTTGCGGTTGACTTTTTTACCGGGGGAAATAAAAATGTAATTATTCTTCTTTCGGAAAGAAAAGAAAATGGAAAGTCTGATAGCCGAGATGCAATGGCCCGATTTTTCAATTACAATTTACAGAGACGGTTTTAGAAAAGCTTCCCAAGATCGTTTACTCAATTTTGGATAAAATAAAACTTCATCCATCAACACAATTGTGGCATTTGACCTGAAAATACAAAAACTCCAAAGCTTGAATTCATTATCACATCCTTAAATGTCATTTTTTCCTTGCCACTCTTTGCTCCTGTTTCTGATTCTGTTAAATCTTTAACTAGCCCTGCACGTCTTAGAAATGAGACCAATTAATTACTCGACCCTACCTGTTTATTTGTTCTTACCATCTGGGTTGTTTAACTTCGTAGGTATCGAATATTTTAAAAATAAGTCACAAATATTGCACTTTAAATAGCTGATGTTATAACCATTTTATTAAACCAATCGTGTGTTGATTTGGTACAATTTCAGCCTGGCATTGACGCCACGAACGTTCATTAATAATCTATTGAATGTCTTTTATAATCTATTGAAGCAAACGTTAGTGGCGTATTGATTTGTGCCATGCTTTTTGAAATATTATTCTCCCAATACTGTTAATATTATATAAGGGCTCGCGGGTTTTGGCAGGCAATAGTCGATTTTAAAATGATTTGTTTCGGTTGCTGGGTTAGCGCCAAGCGCCTCTATTTGAGAGAAACTATAGGGTTGTTCGGAAAGTCATTTCGTTTTTTCCCGACAGAGGATTTAATTGTATTCTTTTGCACCCAACTTCACATTTAAGCCGTATAATTTTTAGATGCTTTAAGAGCTCATATAGCAAGGCTTGTGTGTGAAAAATTCCAATTAATTCTACGCAGTAGTTTTTGGTTGGTGCCCTTTTAAATATGGAGAGCGATAAGCAGCATTTTCGACATATCTTACTGTTTTACTACAGAAAGGTTAAAAATGCTGTTCAAGCCAGAAACAAATTGACTGATGTGTATGGAGAAGGTGTGTTGACAGTACGCCAGTGCCAGAACTGGTTCGCTAAATTTCGATCCGGCAATTTTGATGTCGAAGATGCACCACGTTCGGGAAGGCCGGTTGAAGCTGATAAAGACGCGATAAAGGCATTAGTTGATGTGAACCGGCTAATAACAATACGTGAGATCGGATTGAGGTTAAATTTATTAAATTCAACAGTTTATGACCACTTGAAAGGCCTGGGATTATCCCTGAAACTCGATGTATGGGTTCCCCATGTTCTCACAGAGAGAAATTTGTGTCGCCGCATTGACGTCTGCGATTCGCTTCTCAAACGTCACGAAAATGATCCGTTTTTGAAGCGCATCATCACTGGGAACGAAAAATGGGTTGTATACAACAACGTCAAACGCAAGAGGTCATGGAGCAAAAAAGATGAACCGGCTCAAACCATTTCCAAAGCCGATATTCACCAAAAAAAGGTGATGCTGTCTGTTTGGTGGGATTTTAAAGGAATCGTTTTTTATTGAGCTTTTACCGGATAACACAACGATTAATTCGGAAGTCTACTGTCATCAGCTGGATAAAGTGAATGATGCACTTCAACAGAAAAGGTCAGAACTAATCAACAGGAAAGGTGTAGTGTTTCACCAAGACAACGCGAGACCTCACACAAGTTTGGTCACTCGCCAAAAGCTTTCACAATGGGTTACAATGCTACACCCACCATATTCTCCAGACCTGGCACCATCGGATTATTATTTGTTACGGTCACTCCAAAATTTTTTAGACGGTAAAACCTTCACCTCAAATGAAGAGGTCAAAAACCTCCTCGATCAGTTTTTTGCCAGCAAAGACCAAAAATTTTATGAGCGTGGAATTATGCTACTACCAGAAAGATGGCAAAAGGTGTTGGACCAGAACGGTCAATATATAATTTAATAAAGTATTTGTTTATTATACGAAAACTGTCTTTCATTTCCACAAAAAAAAAAAACGAAATGACTTTCCGAACAACCCTATATATATGAGCAATAATTTTAAAACGAGTCTAATTGGATAAAATAGATTTTACTCGTTTATGTTGAGCATAATTTAAACTGACAGGCTCAATGTTTTATTTTTTTTTTGTTTTGAAACATACCGATTCATTTGCCAGAGAAAATAGAGGCCTGGTGTGGAACAGGTGGGTAGAAATCCGACCCAGACAAGAATGGCGTAGGTGATGTCAAAGTGGCCGGTGTTGTCGTAGGTTTCAATTAAAGCTAATCTTGCCAACCGGAGTACCATCAGGGGGCACAGCAGGATACCGTAAGCGGTTACGGTTGCGACAAGGTATTTCTGCGTACGTCGCTCTTTCACGACATCCAGTTCGCTATCGTAAAGCTGCTGTAAATTATCCCTGTTATTACGGAAATGATCCCGAAAACTGGATCTGCTGTACTGCGAAGTGCCATCAGATCCCGCCCTACTCGCCCTATAAAATAGACAGCAATGTTTATAAGCCAACATCAGACGAATCACTTGGTAACTTTTACAAGAATTTTATTGCCGGTGACTCAAAACAATTTTCTTGCTAAGAAATATCATTACTAAGAGTAAATATTTTATTTTTAATTTTTGTGAATGCTATGAAGTATTTTTTTTTATTTCATTTTACGGTACGTCCTTTTGTGAACAACTAGGTTTTATCGTAAATACGTGTCAAAAGTCTTAATTTTTCTATTCCTCTGAAATAGTATTTTTTTTCGGGATAAAAGATACATTACGCCCTTTTCTGTACCCCTAAAATGTAACGCCTTAAAACATTTGAACAACTACACTTGAAAATTGCTATACTTAAGGTCAAATCAGGCAAAATACTCCAATGGTACCCTAGTAAACCCAGATCTCGTCCAGATGCTAATAAGATCTGCTCTAACAAATTTCCGATGGGGAAACGTCCCCTTTTATCAAAAAAAAATGTAACATGATACATTTTATACTTTGCTCTATCAAAATCGATCGTATAAAAGCTGAGATATAACTTGAATTTGCATACTTATTACAATAAGCAGCTTATTGTTGGTAAAATAGCAATAGTACACATTGAATACCGACCTGCAGTCTGTGGCGGTTGAATGAGAGTCAACTCGGTGTCTGCCTTCCCTGTTTCGAACCTCCATCATCAGGGCAATGTAATTTTCTTGCGTTTCTAACTCCCTGGATACTTTAACGTACAAATAGGAAATTGTCGCGAGAGGACCGGCGTATCTATAGCAAAAATACAACAAAATATAACGATAGACCAGTACATTCTATTTGTCCATACGTAATTTTTCAATAAAAACTGGTACCAGTCGATAATTTAACAAATTTTTGTGTTGCATAATTTATAGACAACCCCTTATTAAATGCCTTTATATCGCCGATGAAAATGTTTTAATGTCTCAACAACTGTAGGGATAGATATACAGAGGCATAAGATTAGTATGCTTAGATTGGCAGATGATATAGCAGTATTAGCATCTAGAATGGAGGAGTTAGAGACAGCATTAAATAAAATGGAAGCGGTATTGACAAAACAGTACTGTATTCAAATAAATAAAAGTAAAACAAAAATACTGGTATGCAAGGGAAGAAAAAATAGGGAATGAGCGAATATAAAGATAGGAGACGAAAGATTAGAAGAAGTGGCTGATTTTAGGTATCTAAGAATTCAGATAAGTCAGGACGGAAGGAGTAGTAGGGATATAAAGCAGAGGATAACGCAGGGTCGTATTACCTTCAATAAAAAGAAGTCACTTCTATGTTCGCGAACGGTTAATGTAGAAATTCAAGAAAGGTTGTTAAATGTGTATGTTTGGAATGCGGCGCCATACAGGTGCGAAACATACAAGAAGGTTAGAAATGAAGAGGTATTAGAAAGAATAGGAGGACAGAGAACTATGGAAGTCAATAAGAAATAGTCGAAATAGGTTGGTAGGACACCTTCTCAGGCATAAAGGTCTAGTAAGAGATATATTAGAAGCAGAAACGGGAGTTAGGAGGGGTAGAGGTAGACCTAGATTAGATTACTGTTCGCAGATAGTTAAGGATGTGGGTTGTTTTAGTTTTAGGGAAATGCGAAGATTAGCTCAGGATAGGAAAGAGTGGAGATACGTGTCCAATCAGTCTTAGGACTGACAACCTTATGATGATGATCTCAATAACCTCCGGCTAAGCTTATTAAATGGGCAAAAGGCCTTTACAGAATCAACAACTGTTTAATAAGTTGACTCTTTTTTAAAAATATCTACTTAAAATTAATTCAGCTTTTCAAATATTGAGATAGGAGCAGGATTTTAAACGAATACTGTTATTCATTCACCGGAGAAGAACCGTCTAACAAAGAACAAACTAACAAAAACAAACAAGAGGTACCTACTCATTATTTTTAATAGATTACTTACGTTATTATAAATATACCCCTCATGTACTCTTGCATGTCGTCCGATAAATTGACGATGCAAATGCCAACCCCTTCAAAAGATGGCACATGTTTCTGAAAGGTAAACATGATTAATTTATCTAATTAAATAAATTAATTATTCGTCTATTAATAGCATAATAAGGTCGATGGTAAACAGCGCAGCAGCGCAGATGCGTGTTTTTTGATAATTATTTTGCTTCATACAAATATCTGTTCGCCGGTTTAATTATTCAAATGGACTTCCCCTGTAATATTAACGAAGTCTCTATAGCAATTGCAGCGACATGGACATGTTTGGACTGTTGGTTAATTTTAAACTGAACCGTTCTAATTTTACTATAATTATAATCCAGGGAATACCGAATGTGTGGTCAATATTGTTTACAAAATCAAACACTAATTAAACTAAATGCGTGCAACAACAAGTTGTTGAGCTGCCGAACCCTAAACACTGATGAAGACACATAGAATTTATAGGGTTGTTCGGAAAGTCATTTCGCTTTTTTTTGTGGAAATGAAAGACAGTTTTCGTATAATAAACAAATACTTTATTAAATTACATATTGAGTGTTCTGGTCCAACACCTTTTGCCATCTTTCTGGTAGTAGCATAATTCCACGTTCATAAAATTTTTGGCCTTTGCTGGCAAAAAACTGATCGAGGAGGTTTTTGACCTCCTCATTTGAGGTGAAGGTTTTACCGTCTAAAAAATTTTGGAGTGACCGGAACAAATAATAATCCGATGGTGCCAGGTCTGGAGAATATGGTGGGTGTAGCATTGTATCCCATTCAAGCTGTAAAAGCTTTTGGCGAGTGACCAAACTTGTGTGAGGTCTCGCGTTGTCTTGGTGAAACACTACACCTTTCCTGTTGATTAGTTCTGACCTTTTCTGTTGAAGTGCATCATTCAGTTTGTCCAGCTGATGACAGTAGACTTCCGAATTAATCGTTGTGTTATCCGGTAAAAGCTCAAAAAAAACGATTCCTTTAAAATCCCACCAAACAGACAGCATCACCTTTTTTTGGTGAATATCGGCTTTGGAAATGGTTTGAGCCGGTTCATCTTTTTTGCTCCATGACCTCTTGCGTTTGACGTTGTTGTATACAACCCATTTTTCGTCCCCAGTGATGATGCGCTTCAAAAACGGATCATTTTCGTGACGTTTGAGAAGCGAATCGCAGACGTCAATGCGGCGACACAGATTTCTCTCTGTGAGAACATGGGGAACCCATACATCGAGCTTCGAGGATAATCCCAGGCCTTTCAAGTGGTCATAAACTGTTGAATTTGATAAATTTAACCTCAATCCGATCTCACGTGTTGTTATTCGCCGGTTCACATCAACTAATGCCTTTATCGCGTCTTTATCAGCTTCAACCGGCCTTCCCGAACGTGGTGCATCTTCGACATCAAAATTGCCGGATCGAAATTTAGCGAACCAGTTCTGGCACTGGCGTACTGTCAACACACCTTCTCCATACACATCAGTCAATTTCTTTCTGGCTTGAACAGCATTTTTACCCTTTCTGTAGTAAAACAGTAAGATATGTCGAAAATGCTGCTTATCGCTCTCCATATTTAAAAGGGCACCAACCAAAAACTACTGCGTAGAATTAATTGGAATTTTTCACACACAAGCCTTACTACATGAGCTCTCAAAGCATATAAAAATTCTACGGCTTAAATGTGAAGTTGGGTGCAAAAGAATACAATTAAATCCTCTGTCGGGAAAAAACGAAATGACTTTCCGAACAACCCTATATAATGGTTTTTAATAATACCTTAAGTTTATACCTCGAACTTTTGACTATTGCGCTTCGTGCTCCTTATTCTACTGTCATTAAAAGCGACCCTTATTTTTACCATGTATTATGTATTCCAGAGTTTTATCGCCAATCCGTACAACTTTGTATGCCCTTCTTCTGAATTTTATACCTAAAAATTCGTGCGTGTGCCTGTCGTTATCAAAGTATCTGCCACTAAACTTCTTCTGCGTATTACTTTCTAATTTTATTCATCGTAATGGATTAAATAATGACTAAGATAGATGTCAAATGAACTGGAAGGTACGGGATCATTAATCCTGATTTTATCCCATCTGCATTACATAAGATGGTCAGGTGATTTACGACGTTATTTTCGAAAAGGAGCTTAGTAATGCGTTGCTGCTGGATTTATGATGAAAAGGAGCAGAACAGGTAGTTCTACACTTTTGATAAATTTGAATGGAAATACGTAGAATAGAACAGAAAATGCACTTCGAATATTTACCAACGTCGACGCTTGTAATGTAAAGTTTGTTGTTCTGTACTAAAAGAAAACTGCTTTCTCGATAATCTCAAGTATCAAAATGATCGATCATTCTATCATGCAGTCGCGACATGCGGCATAAGATACGTAAGCTTATAATCGTGTAAAGAATGATGGATTCAAACTTTGTGGACGAAAAGAAACTACAGAAGGCGAACACGATTGGAATTTGAAAGTGTTTCTGGTGTTAAAATTTTAGCTGAGTAAAAATCCCTGCGGATTTACATTATATCACTGTCAGGGGGCTGTAGCCAAACCGTGAAAACGGAAAAGGCTTAAAAAGGCAGGCTGAAGGTCTACTTCTTCCACATAATTATCTACATATTTTTACTATATATAAGAAACACCTTGATATTTAATAGTGGTTAATATACCAAAGTGAAAATTCATTTTCCACTTATATCAATTATAAATTACCTCAAGTTAATGAGAAAAATTTGTTGCTGTTGTCACATTCTCGTCGGGAATCGAACCTGAGAACTTTTGGCTTTACGCCCAAATGCCGTGACCACTAAAAGGTCCCGGGTTCTATTCCCGGCGAGGGTGTGACAACAGCAACAATTTTTTCCTTATTAACTTGAGGTGTAAGTGGAAAATGAATTTTCATATTAATATTTAAAGATATTTTTGTTAATTATGTAAGACACTTTTTATCTTTACTCATATCAAAAACTTTCAGGACACGTTCCAAACTTTATTTATTGCATGTCTTCATTGGTCGAAACGATTTCTCTTTTTTGTTATGTATTCCTGACCCGCAACTCGTGAATAAATATCGAGGCCTCTGTCAAATGCCTTTTGATGATTATTATTGTACCCTTAAGACCTCGGATCAATCAGATATATAAAGAGTTGGTAAATAAGTGGCCTTTTTCCTTCTGGCTTTTTTCCCCGAACGGCTTCAAATGATTCGTAATGAGAACGCCTTAAGATTGTCAGTTTGTTCAAGTCAGTTGACGCAGAGGACCTAAAGACAATTTATTTTAACTGACATCTTCTTAATGATACCAAAATGCCGTTATTGATTGAGGGACAAATAACGAATTTAATAAAGTCTCCGATTTTTTCGTACGCATTACACCCTGTCATTGATAACTGTTATAAACGAGTTGCACACCATAAACACGGAGATAAAAATACGATTATCTTGTCGGATTATTTATTGTTTGATGAATATTAAAAGTTGTAATTATGCACTTCTAGCTCTATCATTTCATATAAATGATAACGAAAAACGAGTTTAATTACTTGTTTTCTGTACACAGTGTAGTGGTAAATTTATAACATTTGGGGCTTTTCATTATCTAGGATAACCGCCACAAAGGTATCAAATGAATTCAGTTGAATATGTCTTTTAGTAGTCAGGTACTCCAAGGTAACTCACCAACTACACATACTGAAAATATGACACCTGCTTTGGAACAAACAAAATTCGATATGTTTTTAACAAGTACTCATTTGTAGCATGCCAATGACTCGCCCTTAAAACATGCTCCTTGTCGTAGAACGACTTCCTTATAGTGTTTACATGATAAAGTTATAAGGTAGGGGCTTTCAAATTGAACGTGGTACATATTTCGCTGGTCATAATTCGACAGGCCATATATTTTTATCAAGTACTCATTTGTAACATGCCAAGGACTCGCACTTAAAACATGCTCCTTGTCGTAGAACGACTTCCTTATAGTGTTTACATGATAAAGTTATAAGGTAGGGGCTTTCAAATTGAACGTGGTACATATTTTGCTGATCATAATTCGACAGGCCATATATTTTTATCAAGTACTCATTTGTAACATGCCAAGGACTCGCTCTAAAAACATGCTCCTTATCATAGAACGAATGTTTTATGTCGTGAAATAACTTTTGTTATGTTTTATAAATTTTACATTACAGAATTTGTTTGCCTAATGGTATCATTCTACTTAACATATAAAATAAAAAAAAAATAAGGCTCCATTTGTATGGTAAATAAATTAAATTTGTTATTGCAAACGCTGCATTGCGTCTATTTGTTTTAGCTAGCCAATTTGTTTCTACTTTACAAACACCAGCAGAAAGAAACAGTCAATATTTCACATCCGGAAAACATTTTCTCATTTTACTGTAGTTTCTAGAATTTGAATGCAAACAAATTATGACATATGGAAGCTAAATACAGAATTGCGTGAGCTTTGATATTAACAGTAAGTTTTATACAGCTTTTTAGTAAAGAGAGACATCTTATTATTTAAAATAATGTTGTATCACGAAAAATTGGAAGATGGTAGCCCTGTAATATTAACGAAGTCTCTATAGCAATTGCAGCGACATGGACATGTTTGGACTGTTGGTTAATTTTAAACTGAACCGTTCTAATTTTACTATAATTATAATCCAGGGAATACCGAATGTGTGGTCAATATTGTTTACAAAATCAAACACTAATTAAACTAAATGCGTGCAACAACAAGTTGTTGAGCTGCCGAACCCTAAACACTGATGAAGACACATAGAATTTATAGGGTTGTTCGGAAAGTCATTTCGCTTTTTTTTGTGGAAATGAAAGACAGTTTTCGTATAATAAACAAATACTTTATTAAATTACATATTGAGTGTTCTGGTCCAACACCTTTTGCCATCTTTCTGGTAGTAGCATAATTCCACGCTCATAAAATTTTTGGTCTTTGCTGGCAAAAAACTGATCGAGGAGGTTTTTGACCTCCTCATTTGAGGTGAAGGTTTTACCGTCTAAAAAATTTTGGAG